GAAAAGAATATAGTTTTTTCGATAAAAAGGTAAATTAGCTCAAGAGGAAAACATAGCTTATTGAAGTATGTCTATCTTACTATCTGAAACCTCACTATGAGTTTTGCAATCTAATATTATAGCCAAATAAAGTTGACTTCATAACTTAACTGATGCAGTGAATACAAATGAACTACAGAAAAGCAAGCTGAAAGCTCCATGTGGTTGTGACGTGTGAGCACTGCATGTCTACATAAGTATATACATATTTAGGATTATTTTCAGTCTCAATATTTTAAGCGCAATACAAAAGTATATATACTGGTTGAATATATACTCTCTACATGTGCAAAAAAGTAAACCAAAAATAGTGAAATATGTGTTTTCTAGTTTGGAATTTAAGTTACCACTACCAAAACGAATCAAATTGACAATATTAATAATGTACGGAGTATTAGTTATGCTAAATAGGTTACATTGGTATCTGTCATTATTCTCACGAATATAAAATAGTTTAAACTTAAAAAGTTACTCACAATCCAACAAAAGTATTGAAAGATCTGAATCCAGAAGTTTTATTTTTTAAAGGAGTACAATGATTGATACCTTGAGTTGGTAAATGAGGATCTATAAATTTACTTCAGTTTCAGATCTGAATCCAGAAGTTTAGTTGCATCCCTTGATTAACTGTAGGCTAGAACTTGAATAAATTTCAATTCGTGCATGAACCAAATTAGTTTCATACAGGGAAATAGAGAATTCGATTTTGTGAAGTTTACTATTCAATTTTAATTCAGTAAAACCTAACAAACGAAAAATTCTAATCAAAATTTCCCAATCAAGACATAGTGTGACTCAGAGATGACATAGGAATAAGAAGCACTTGAGGAGTTACCTGAATTCGCTGATAAGCTAGAGTGCGGCAAGACGGCTAGGCTATCATTGCTGTGAGGGCCTGGCGAGTTGACATCCCAAGTAGCGGTAACTAGCGACTAAGGCGAGATGACGTCGATGCTTTGCAGAACGGAAGAGGAGAAGCCGAAGACGGATACGTGAATGAATTAGGGATCTGAAAATACACGTTGAGATCGGTTGAGAGATCAACGATGACAAATTTAAGGTGGAGTCTGTGAGTAAGGCAGTTGGAAATTGGTCGAAAAATATGGAAGATGCACCGACGCGAAGAATCCAAAAGATGAAGACGGGGGTCGATGCAGAGCCAGGTTTTTTGGATTTGATTGTGTTTAATGTTTTGACTCTTTTTGAAATAAAGAAACTAAATTGAAAAGTTGAAAGTTAAATGTGAAAAATAATACGGAGGTGGACATGAAATACTAAGCACAAAATTGGACTCTTCGGGTAATTAGCACTTTAATATAAAGTTATTGTCCTAAATAGGACTAAAACAATACAAAAATTCCAAAATAGGACTTCTTATTAATTTATTACTCAAATGGGAGTTTTAAAGTTGACTGTCCGTTTATTTTTCCGGATTTACCCTCCCACGCTTATTGAATGATTCGCCCCTCAAAAGTTGTACGTCACAACTCATACACAACCTTAGCTGTTAGGCACAAAGTCCCAAACCCACCCTCTCCCATCTCTTCCTTCCATCCGACCCATCTGTCTGCTATCTTTTTTTTTCCTCTCAATTGATTGAGTATTTACAACTAAGAAAGCTCGGATTTCAAAGGTGGAAGCCATACTCCCCATCTCCGACGACCGACTCGTCTCTCCAGATCTCTTTTCCGGTCGGCCATCCTTGATTTTCTGTCTCTTTTGCACCGTGACTCCGATCATGTGTCATAACTCCGGTGATATACCGGTCTTGTTTGGTAAGTATCTTTCTCCTTCTCTTCCATCCTTTTCTCCCCCATCTTCTTCTTCTCCTCCATGTTCATCTCCGTCATCTTCGTTCCTCTGTTTTCTTCTCTTACAATTTTTCTATTTTCTATTGTTTCGTGTGTTTAATTTTTAGATTCAAAATGAGTTCGAAAGATTTCCAAAATTTATTATATGAAAATTTCAAATCTGACTTTAACAAATGTCCAGTGATTTAAAAGAAATTGAATCTGGTTTTTATTATTAAATTTAGTTTTTTATTTTAAAGTTTTCAATTTACTGAATGTAGATCTGAAAAATCTACACGTAATGTTTATTTTTGGAAAACAATGTTGTTTTCAACTTTTCATGATATTACATGTTTGACAAATAATGCCATTTTGCATCTATGAAGTTGGCCTTAACTACATGAAGATGACAATATTGCTTGAATATGTTAGGCAATAATGCCATATTTATGACTATTAATGTCATGTATTTTTTACATACTAAGTACATAAAGATGGCAATATTGCTTGCAAATGTTAGACAATAATGTCATATTTATGACTATTAATGTCATGTATTTTTTACAAAATGGCATTATGCTTTTAACATGACATTAAATAATATTTCACTAGAATAATTTTGGTGTTGGTGTATGAGATCTCAGCAGTCCAAGCAGAGAGCGTGACGGCACTGGAAGACCAGGCGGATCCATACGAGGACTCGCCGGAGGGCGGCGGCGGCAGATAAAGACTTGCTGAGAGAGGCGGCGGATTAGGCGGCTCCAGCGATGGCTCCGGCGTCCAGCGGTGAAGGTAGCGGGCGGCGGTGGTGGCGGCGGCGGCCGCCAACAGTGGCGGCACATGAGATTAGTGACAATCCGCAGCACATCCGGTGCAGTTATATAGGTGTGTAATTTTTTGTATTTTATTTATATGTACGTAGCATTACTATATAAGACAGACTTTCATTAAGGGTTCATTAAGGGTACTTTTGTCTACTCATTTAATTTTAGTCCTACGGAACATTAAGGTCCTGTTTTTGCAATTTTATGAACTTTTACTCCTAGTTAGGGAATTATCTCTTTAATATATGTCATTTACATTCAAAAAAATTTGCTTTTAATAAGGTCATTGACTTATTTCCCGGCTTCTTTTAGTATATCCAGTCTACTTTTTTTGGGCGTAATAAATAACGTAAGGAGTGCTAGAGTCCTACCTCCATCTCAAATTGAATTGCAAAGTCATGTTTTTGGTCAAATAATTTTGCTTTATTCGATCACTTAATCATGATATCAATTTTTAATTATATTCTAATTTGAATTTTGCAATTATATAGAGATTTTTACAATTTCTTAATACGTAAATTTTAATTATTAAAAATTGAATTAATTATTAATAGGGAGAGTTTAACTTTAACGTTGATTTACCAAAAAATGTTGACATTGCAAATCAATTGGGGGCGAATGCAATATAAGATTATCGAGGAAAGGGTCAGATTGGTCCTCGAAGTTGGGGCGGTTCCCAGTGGAATTTTTTGATGAAAATTTTTGAACATCTTATTCATTAACTCTAGTTTACTCATACCAAATTTCAGCTAAAACTTCAATTGGGAAGGCATTCAAATGGATTCTTGAAGATAACTGTGCAGTTAAAAACACAGTTATCTTTAAGAATTCATTTGAATGAATTCCCGATTGAAGTTTTAGCTGAAATTTGGTAAGAGTAAACTAGACTTAATGAATAAGATGCTCAAGAAATTTCATCAAAAAATTCCACCTGGAACTGCCCCAAATGGCGATGACCTGAGAGACCTCCTATATAAGGACTTATTTGACCCCTTTTATACAACTTCGAGGACCAATCTGACCCTTTACTCTAAGATTATCGTTATTATCAGTACACTTTTTGTTGTGTCATCACTTTTGGATATTCATTGTAACTTAAGAAGGATGTTAACACTTGTTAATTAAAAAGTTATAGGGGGAAATAATTCAAATACATTAAACCTTGAAGACAAACATCCTAAATTAACTATAAGTCACATGTGTAAGTCTTGAATCTTTTTTGTGTATATAATCACCTGGGTGACGTCAGCACTAGACTCCTGTTGCGTTAGTGATGTAATCCCGAATGTATGTGAAATTTAAGTGGTATAATGTCGGCCACAATCTTCATATAAGATCTCGAGCTCGGCAAAAGAGTTCGAATTGGAGTGTGGTGTGTTCTAGCTTAGTGGCTCATAGTACCAAAGGATGATGCTCTCATTAACTTTTAAATTCCGTAAGACGCCAGTTGACTTTAAGCTTGGTCATAGCGCTGGAATTGCCGCCAACCTCAAGGAGGATCAACCTCGGCCTCGGACACAGAAGTGGACTCATCTCGATGACTTGAGAACTGATTTTGAGCTCGGTCTCGGTGACTACTCGGCGAGCTCGGTTTCTGGAGATCTTTTATTCATAAATGTTGATACTCGTGAGCTATATGAGAATATACTCCATCACGTAGAGTTTAAAAAGGTTCATAAAATATACTTTGTCCTATTTCGGGAATTTTATGACGTTTTATAAAAGAAACATGACTTAATAAGTCGAATAATTTTATAATGCTTTAAAATATGACTCATTCACTTCTATTTTGGGAAGTTTAATTTTAATCAAGTTATTCTTTTAATATGACTAAATAAGTCGAATAAAATATATTTGTCCTATTTCTGAACTTTGTACTAGCATATGTTTTGGTCCTACTACCCCGTCCCAATTTGTTTTGCAAAGTCAACAATTTTTTGTCAACCAATAATAAAAGTCAAACCTCCGTAAGAATAATTAATTCAATTTTTAATAATTAAAATTTACATATTCAAAACCTACATTAAAATCTCTTTAAAGTTGTAAACTCCAAATTAGAATATAATTAAAAATTGACATCCTGATTAAGTGAATGAAACGAGACTGTTTGACTAAGAAAAGTCAAATTTGCAACTCTTTTTTGAAATTGTAAAATTTTGAGGGAGTAATAAAAAGAATGGATAAGGAGGGAGGGAGTTTTTAATTTCGACACATCCTTGACAATGTTGAGTTTTTTTTATTTTATTTTGTGCATGTAGTAATAAAAAAACGAAATTAATAAACAAAAAATTCACCACCTCATATAGTGATGGACTCTTCCGGCCTCTCATGCAACGATTTCACCCATTGGACCTATATACCACTAATAGAGAAAAGAACCAAACTTGGCGGAGGTGAACGGCGGTTCCCGGCGTATTAGATGGTGGCACGGTAGTAAAGCATTGCCATATCATGGAAGGTCTCGCCGCTCCGTCGAGACGCAAGGTGATGGTTGTGGCGGACCCCACCAGGGAGTCGGCGGCCGCCCTCGAATACGCCCTCTCCCATGCAATTCTAGAAAACGATACGCTGTACCTTCTCCACGTCGAGAACCCCAATGCGTGGAGAAACCAGATCGGATCATTCTTCAAATGGCCCCCGTCGTCGGCATCCAATAGGACCGCCGCCTCAGACGGCGGAGCCGCCGCCCCGGTATGCGGTGGCAGCCCGCATGTGGAGGTGGACTTCTTAGAAGCCATGAAGCGTGCATGTGAGTTTGCGCAGACGAAAATGGTGGTGCATGCTGAGAGGGTGGCCATAATGGATGGGAAGGATAAAGCTTCGGTCATTCTTTCTCAGTGTTCAACGCTTGGGATTGATCTTCTCATTATTGGGCAGAGGAGGACTCTATCCAATTCAATTTTAGGGTTAGAATTAATGCATTTCTTAAATTTAGCCTCTATTTCATTTGTTTTCATTTGCATGCACACCACTACACAACGTACGACTGCATAAATTGATAAGCGTTAGCTTCGAATCCTTATAACTGTGATGAGAGGTCACTTTGTAAAAGTACATATGGTCTGTGCATGTACTTGGGCAAGAGCCCAAGTACTCCCTATTTAAGGTTCAATTTACATCCTCTCATTTTACTGTTCGATCGGTGTTTTACATCCTCTCATTTTACCGTTGATCGGTGTGGAGGGTCATTGGGGATGGAATGCCTTTTTTTATGCATAAATTGGTTAGGGCCATTACTAGACTGCGTCATTTCAGTTTTTTGTGAAAAGGATTTTGGGGTGGACTGATTTAAAGAATTTTTCAAACACTTATACACATACGATAATATATTTTTACACTAAAAATACAAGGAATTGTTAAATTTGGAGTGTGTCGGGGCCCGGTTGCCCCCCTCTACCTCCACCCTACCTCCGCCCGAATTCTAAGCATTTCCCTTCATCTTCGTAACTCATCCTTCTCAGCTAATTTCAATGACGACATTTCTTCCACATATAGCACAGAGAAATAAGCTAGGAGCAACCGGGCTTGAATTGTAATCCTGATGGAAAATAGTTTTTACTTTAATTATAAAAGCATACAGAGTATTATTTTGACAATTTTCATTAAATTTGACAATTATAGGAAGTTAAATGTTGATGGAAGGGGTGATCAGTCAAAAGTCAAAAGTTGACGGAATACTGATTGACTTTTAAAAATGCATGATTGAAGTTGGAAAAATGAGATATTAATAGAAGGTAGATTGTTTGATACTTTAAATTACTATACCTTTGTCCAAATAAACTAATCAAAATAATGTAATTGAATTATATAAATGAAAATTAAAAGTGATATAATGTCCTGAACCAATCAAATGAGTGATAGATATAATATCTCATTTTTTAATTGGTACGGTAATGATCAGAATAAGAATCTTGTAACAACACATGTACAATCTATAATAGTTAGTTGATCTGATATGAGGTAATTGATTAATTGAAGTTATTCCTTTTAATTTTTATGGGGCAGGCCGAAGAGAAGTGGACGTGGATCGTTAAGGGGGCTAGACACTGCAGAATATTTGATTGAGAACAGCAAATGCACCTGTGTGGGAGTACAGAGAAAGGGCCAAAATGCTGGATATGTTCTTAATACTAGAACACATAAAAACTTTTGGCTCTTAGCTTAATTCAATTAAATTATTACTTGATCCATCTCATTTCTCAGATCAATTAATATAATTAGTTTGTGACTTTGTGCTTCTTCCTTACGGTGACATTATTGTAAATTCTTTCCACTTTTAATTAAACAATTCACCTGCAGATCTATATTGTGATCTTCTGCATATTTATATCCTACAGGTTATTTGCTTATATCTCACCAGTTGAACAAGTCCTACCATGCAAAAGAATGGTTTTCTGGCTCTCCCAATATACCACACTACCGACACATTGAATGTATCAAAACGCAATATAACTCTCACGCAGACTCACCACATTGAAGCTTGAAGTGGTTTCATGGGTGATGTAGTAGTATATTATTCCGATTACTGGATATTAGAACCAATGAATATTATGTTTAGATTAAATGTGATAGTTATTGGTTTTGATATCCAAGAATTGGAATATTCACTACAAAAAAACAGCGTCATAGTCACGGATTTTAGTCACGGATTTCGACCGTGACTAGTTTAGTCACGGTCTAGTCACGGACTAGTCACGGAAATTTTTAAAAAAAAATAGTCACGGTCAGAGCCGTGACTATGACCGTGACTAATGTTAGTCACGGTCATGGACCGTGACTTAATTCCTCCGATAGGCCCATTCCCGTTTCCGGCGAAGTTTATTTGATTCCGACGACTTAGTCACGGCCAAATCCGTGACTATGCCCGTGACTATAGTTAAAATTTATTTATTTTCAACTCCCTTAGTTAATTCGCAACGGCATTATGTACGGATAAATGTAGTCACGGCCATATCCGTGACTAGTTCCGTGACTATGTTGATTAACACGTCATTTACACGTAATTAACACGTGTTGGACGCGTGTTGGACACGGTTTTGCTTAGTGACGGACAAATCCGTGACTAAGTCCGTGACTAAATTTTTTATATATGCAGGAGCAGCTCATTCATTCAACAGAACCACACCAATTCATTCCCAGTATATACAGTATCCGTAGATCGAAGGATGTAGTCTATCTTCTATCATTTTCCCTGTTTATGCAGATAAGGTATGTTATTTGAATTATAATTTTTATTTAGAATTAGTTGGTTCAATTTAAATTATTAAAACTATTAAATTAGTGAGGTTGTTAATTAATTAACAACATGTTTTAACTATAAGCGTAGTAATGTCATAAATTAGAATTAGTTAAACTTTTAGGTTTATAAATTAAAATAATTTAATTAAAATTAGTTAGATAAATGTGGTTTAAAACGTAATGATGTTTATGTTTAGTGAAATTAGTTCAAATAACGTACGTTAGTAATGTGTTAATTAAGTGAATTGTGAATTGTTATTGTGAATTGTGTATTGCTTATTAATTCAAATAACTTTATATACATGTTCAAATTATTGGGTTGAATTTGGTCATATTATTTAATTTAGTGAATTGTTAATTGTGTATTACTAATAAGATTAAATGTCATTAACGTAATAATTTAGTGTAGGTTTAAACGTAGGTTTACAAAAATAATTTAATTAAAATTCGTTTGCTAAACGTAGGTTTGAACGTAGCTATTGATGTGTTAATTAAGTTAAATTAGGTAGCTAAACGTAAGTTTAAACGTAGTGATGCATTAAAAGGGGACGGAATGAACTAGTTAAATTTGTATAAAATTAACTAAATGAATTAGTTAGATTTAATTAAACGTATGTTTAATTTAGTGAAATTATCTGCATTATTGTGCATTAGGGGACATATATTTTGTGCATAACTAAGATGTGAATTCTGTGCATTTCATTTAAAAAAAGTGAAAATTAGTTGATTATATTTAGTGAAATAAATTACTTAAAATTGTGTGCATTGCATTTCATCTAATTTTTTATTATAATATTCAGGCATAATGTATAAACAAAATAGAAGTTGGATGTATGATAAAGATGCGGTATTGTACGGAATGCAATTAAATTTTCTCGAGGGAGTCGGGGAATTTATTGAATTTGCACTTGAACATCCGGCTTATATGAGTGGTGATAAAATAAGATGTCCATGTTCAAAGTGTAAAAATCTCAAATTTAAAGACCCACACGAAGTTGGGTATGATTTGTACGCGGTCGGTTTTGTTCCCAATTATTATAATTGGACTTCTCACGGCGAACCTTTGGATCCATCTGTTATACCACAAACGGTAGGTTCGTCTCGTTACGTCCCTCCAGAGATGAGTGCGTGGGGAGACCGTGCTGAAATGAGGTGGGACCAACAAATGGTATATGACGCATACGGTGTACCGTCTCAATTCAACCCCCCACAACCACCTAACGACCCCCCTGAAGCCTCAACCTCGTATCAACCAGATGCGGATGAAAATCCGACATTTTATCAACCTTATGTGGATGAAGGTTTGGCTGAGAGATTTCAGGATGTTCTAAAAGCTGTCGACCAACCTCTGTATGCTGATTGTGAGGGATACTCTCAGCTATCCGCTGTTACTGAGTTCATGAACATAAAAGCCGAATACAGTCTCCCTGAAACTTGCATGAATAGAGTCTTGCAGTCAGTAGGAGGGATGCTACCGCGAGATCATACCCTTCCCGATTCATATTACCACATGAAGCAGTTAATGTCTAAGTTGGGGCTACCTTGTGTTGAAATTGATGCGTGCCCGGAAGGATGTATGTTGTTCTGGAAGGAGGATGAGGCACTTGAGTTCTGCAAGTTCTGTGGTGGAGACAGATACAAACCTGTTCGTCAAAATAAAAAGAAACCACGACATAGGTCTGCACTGTCTAAACTGTATTACCTCCCAATAGCTCCTCGACTGCAAAGGATGTACGCTTCGATTGCTACTGCGAAACACATGACATGGCATGTTGAGCACGAAACCAACGAGGGTATGATGGCTCACCCTTCGGACTGTGAAGCCTGGAGACACTTTGACCGCTGTCATCCTCAGTTTGCTATGGAGCCACGAAATGTGCGGCTGGGATTGTGCTCAGATGGATTTGCTCCTTTTGGCAGGTTTGGCAAGAACTATTCATGTTGGCCGGTCATGTTAACACCTTACAATCTCCCTCCCGACATGTGCATGAAAAGTCATTTCATCTTTTTGTCTTTAATTTGTCCGGGTTCCAAGGATCCTGGGCGAAAGATAGACATTTATCTCCAACCCCTTATCGAGGAGATGAAAGAACTGTGGGCCGTTGGGACACCAACTTATGATGTTTCATCAGATAAAATGTTTATCATGAAAGCTGCCATCATTTGGACCATTAGCGACTTCCCTGCCTATGGCATGCTTTCGGGATGGAGCACACACGGTCTGATGGGATGTCCGATATGCATGGAGAAATCAGGTGCCAACTGGCTCAGTTACAGCAAAAAAGGAAGTTACTTTGATTGTCACCGCAAGTTTCTCCCGGAAAGGCACCGATATCGAAAGGACAAGAAGTCTTTCATTAGAGGCAGAGCAGTTCGAGAGAGCCCACCCCCGAGATTGACCGGTGAAGAAATTTATAACCGGGTTCGACGTTTCCCTACGGCTATGGAAGAGCCAAACCAAGAGCCATATGGGTATTGTGATACCCATAAGTGGACAAAGAGGAGCATATTCTGGGAGTTGCCTTATTGGAAAAACCTTCTCATCCGTCACAATTTAGATGTCATGCACACCGAGAAGAACGTCTTTGACAATATATTTAACACGGTGATGGATTTGAAAGGCAAAACTAAAGACGGTCTTGCAGCTAGGAAAGATATGACTATTTGGTGTGATAGACCCGAACTTTCTGTTGATCTAGAATATCAGGGCAAGGAAGTTCCAAAAGCAGTCTACCAGGTCACAGAACCACAAAAGGCAGCAATATTAAAATGGCTTGCGTCTCAGAAGTTTCCAGATGGGTACTGCTCCAACTTGTCTAGATGCGTAGACATGAACAAACTTACCACGACGACGAGCATGAAAACTCACGATGCTCATGTAATAATGCAAAGACTTCTACCAATTGCACTAAAAGAGATGCTCCCTGAACACGTATGGTCCTGCATTACTGAAATCAGTTTGTTGTTTCAATCGATATGTTCCAGCGTTTTGGATGCGGCATCCCTCCGGAGACTACAAGAGTCTGTTCCCATTCTGATGTGTAATCTGGAAAAAATAATGCCACCATCGTTTTTCGATACAATGGAACATCTCATTATACATCTTCCGTATGAGGCTTTGACTGCTGGGCCCGTCTTCTATCGGTGGATGTACAGATTTGAAAGGTTAGTCACAATTTCATTTAAAAAAAGAATATTTATTTCACAATAACTATTAACATGTGTATTATTGCATTATTGCAGATTTCTAAGAGAGCTGAAAAAGAAAGTGACCAACAAGGCACACGTTGAGGCTTCAATTTGTCAAGCGTATCTTCAACAAGAAATCTCAACGTTCTCGTCTTTTTACTTCGAGCGTGACGTCATCACCAGAAGGAAGAGACCTGCCCGGAACGATGACATTGGCGAGGATTTATATGAAAATCTAGTTTCCATCTTCAATTACCCAGGCAGAGGTAAAGGTGCTGCGACACAACGATACATCCTGGGTGGGGAATTGCAAATTGCGCATACTTATATCCTCATGAATTGTCCAGAAATCTCACCGTTTTATCAGTAAGTTAATTTATAGTTTTTTATAGTTGTAGTTAATTAACTACTTATACTTGTAGTTAATTTATAGTTTTTTTTTTGACTTCACAGTGAATTCCGAGCTTCTTTATCAGCCTTTCCTGATAATGAAATTGATGCGTTGGTGGACTCTGATTTTGTAAATTGGTACAAGTATCAGGTATATATACACACACATTAATTATATATATTACCTAATGTTTACCTAATGTTATTATTATGTTTATATTTACAGATCAATAGTCGTGGGATTGTCGACCCTTTGTTAGTATCATTAGCGTGGGGTCCAGGTGCCAGTGCCAAAGTGTGGCGGCAATATGTGATAAACGGTTACACATATCACACAGCCGATTACGGAGAGGGCCGACCAACAACGAACAGCGGGTTATGTGTCCCGACCATCGGTTATGATAACTCGGAAACCAAATTTTTTGGTGTCCTGCAGGAGATTCTGGAACTTGAGATGCCTTCTTGTGCGAAAAAATTGACATGCGTTCTGTTCCGTTGCACATGGGTCGACCCCACACGTGGCGTGCGCAAAAATCCGAAGTATAATATGATTGACGTCAACCTCTCTCGTGTGTACCCAAAAAATGAGCCTTTCATACTCGCCCAACAAGCAGCGCAGATTTATTATGCAGAATATCCTTCAACAAGGCGGACACAGAATCCTTGGGTGTGTGCATGTCCTGTCCGTCCGAACAAAATAAAATCACAAACTCAACACAAGGACGTTGATCTAGATGCTTTTCAGCAACAATTTTTCCAACCTCCGCCTATTGTTGAGACGGTCAACTATAACGTTCAATTAAGTGATCCAAATGGCGGACGTGTTGAAGTCATGCCAGAAACGCACCTTCCGGACCCAACCATTCCATCTGAGCGCGAAATTGAGGAAATGTATGTAGCACAACAAAATGCTCAATATCAGGAAGAAGGTGAATGGATAGACGGTTCAGATACAGAAGAAGATACTGTATATGTAGAAAATGACGATTCTGATAGCGAATAATTGTGCTGTTGTAATTTCAATTTTATTGACTTCTAATATTTGTGCAGATTTCTTCATCATTATATTACTCCAACAATATTTGAATTTTTTTCTATCTTTATCATTATTTATTATGAACAAAAAATTACTCCATATTAATTCAACCACAACAAGTTTTTTATATCCATATCATAAATTCAAAATAAAATTTTTCACAATTCGAAGTTTGAAAATTAAAATTTACCCAATACAAAATATGAAATTACTCTATATTATATTCTTTTATTTTCAAATTCGAAAATTCAAATATTATTTTTGATTTTTCTAAATTCGAAAATTTATTTTAATAATTTTTAATAATTCGAAATTCGAAAATTAATTTTAATAATTCTAAGTCTATTCGAAAATTAACAAAATTCGAAAATTAAAAAAACAGTAATCTACTTTTACTAATCTGAATATTATAATAAATTTAGATATTAATAAACAACTAACATATATTTATTTATCAAATTTCAAAGATAAATACAAAACACACAATGAAATTGTCACATATTATTTATTAAACAACTAACATAGATTTATTTATCACATTAGCCTAACTAACATTATTCATTCCTCAATCGGAAACTTTCAAGAGGCCTAGCCCACAACTCCTGAATTTTCATTCGAGCTTCTTCGTTGATCGGGTCCATATACTCTGAAACTTCTTGTGCACGTTGAAGCATCCGACACAAATTTCTTGCTTTTGACTTGCCCAACGAGTCGGATTCTTCATCTTTATAATCGCCAAAACTTTCAAGGGGTCTAGACATCAACTCCTTGATTCTCTCGTATGCTTCCACGGTTTTCGGCTCCATAAGCTCTGTAATCAGCTTAAGTCGTTTCATATCTCTACACATCGAATCCCAGTCAATTGGACCTCTATTAGCCATTTTTTTTTACAGTTCAGTCTTGGGCCGGAGAAAGATGATTTATACTAAAAAATTTCAAGTTGTCACGGTCTTAGTCACGGTCAGGACCGTGACTAAACCCTTCGTAAATGCCGAAGTCAGTCCGCCGGTCAGAGCGGCGCTGACAATAATAGTCACGGTCAGACCCGTGACTATGACCGTGACTATTTTCAAAATTTGAAACTAGTCACGGTCATAGTCACGGGTCTGACCGTGACTATTCCGATTAAAGGCGTCTCTGACCGTCGGCACTGACATCGTCAATTACGAAGGGTTTAGTCACGGTCAGGACCGTGACTATGACCGTGACTAAAAAATTATATAAAAAAAACACTTAGCGTTTTTTTTAAAAAGCTACGCACCCAAACTCCCAAACCCTAACTTCCTCTTCCTTCTCTCTTCCCTCTCTTCCAGTTTAGATTGTGCCGCCGCCGCCTAGCCGTCGCCGCCTCGCCGTCGCCGCCTAGCCGTCCGCCGTCAACGTCTAGTCGTCCGCCGTCGTCCTCCGGCCGCCTTCGTCCACCTTCTTCCGTCGGCCCTTCTTCAGTCAAGGTTATGTGTTCTGTTCATCTTATTTTGTAATATTTGATTAAACTTCCAAAAATGCATGATTGTATACTTAAATGCATGATAAGATGCATGATTTTTAGTTTCATATCATTTTGTAATCTTCAAAAGTTGTATGTATGATTTATTATATGCATGATTTGTAGTTTTGCATGATTATTTCGTTTTATATGTTTCGTATGCATGATTAATATATGTTCAAATGTAGATTATTTTATGTTTAATATATGTTCATATGCATGATTAATATATTTTCGAACTAATGCGTGCTTATACAATTAGTATCATGTTAAACATATATGTTTAGTGTTTGATTTGCATGCCTCTCTATACATATGCACTACTTTAAATTTTATTTCCGAAAATATTTAATTTAGGTTAATATTTAAAAAAAACTGTTTAAATAAATAGCCCCTCGTGTTAAATTTCCAAAAATAGTTTAACACGTTTAAATATAATTTCCGTAATATCCATTAACAAAATATTAAACATTTAAATTTAATCCCGAAAAAAACTGGACGAAACATTGTTTTTATAATTTATCTAAAAAAATCTGTTTTTATAAAAACTGTTTTTATAAAAACTGTTAATTAAAAACTGTTTTATTAAACAGATTTTTGTAAAAAACAGTTTTTGTAAAAACTGTTTTAATAAAAAGTGTTTTTATAAAAACTGTGTTTATAAAAACTGTTTTTATACAAACTGTTTTTATATAAACTGTTTTTATAATTAATCTAATAAAAACTGTTTTTATAAAAACTGTTTTTAATAAAAACTGTTTTTATACAAACTGTTTTAATATAAACTGTTTTTATAATTAATCTAATAAAAACTGTTTTTATAAAAACTGTTTTTAATAAAAACTGTTTTTATACAAACTGTTTTAATATAAACTGTTTTTATAATTTATCTAAAAAAACTGTTTTTACAAAAATTGATATATATAAACTGTTTTATATAAAATGTTTTATTAAACAGATTTTTGTAAAAAACAGTTTTTATAAAAACTGTTTTAATAAAAAGTGTTTTTATGAAAACTGTTTTTATTAAAACTGTGTTTATGAAAACTGTTTTTATACAAACTGTTTTTATATAAACTGTTTTTAAAATTAATCTAATAAAAACTGTTTTTATAAAAACTGTTTTTAATAAAAACTGTTTTTATACAAACTGTTTTAATATAAACTGTTTTTATAATTTATCTAAAAAAACCGGTTTTACAAAAATTGATATATACAAACTGTTTTATATAAAATGTTTTATTAAACAGATTTTTGTAAAAAACAGTTTTTATAAAAACTGTTTTAATATAAAGTGTTTTTATAAAAACTGTATTTATAATAACTGTTTTTATAAAAACTGTTTTAATAAAAACTGTTTTAATAACAACTGTTTTAAAAACTCTTTTATTAAACAGATTATTTTTAAAAATAGTTTTTTGTAAAACTTGATTTAACAAACTGTTTTAAATTTATTTTAAAATGATATATCTAAAACATAAAAAAATGATCTCCTCTCATGTAAACTTTGCAAAAAGTTTAACATGTTACCTCCAAGTGCAATTTATTACCAAATTATTTAAGAACTTATTATGAAAAAATATGGACCCCTCATATTAAACTAAAAATAGTTTAATATGCTATACACCCTAACATATTATAAAATATACTAAAAATATTTAATATATTTTAGATGAGCAACGAACAATCGACCTCGGCTCCCCGCCCTAACTATGCGCCTATGTCCGAAGCGGAGCGCAACAATGATGGAGCTGTTTGGGTGACGCCTGCAGAAGTTCTTTTGTAAGTAGTTATGAAAAACCTTATTTTCAATAATTTTATATAATGTTAAATAATCAAACCAAATCTTATATAAATAAATACTATTAATTTTTTTAAGTGACGAACACGTGTTCACGGGCATCAAAAACATCATCGGAGGACACTTTCTTGGCACTTGGGCCACACTGTCAGATGTTGACCCCAAGGTTCGCGAACTATGGTGGAACCTGTTCAAGGTAAAAATAAATGAATGTTCCCTTCCTGATTGTATTGGCCTAATATATACCTGGTGATTAATTAATCCAATTTGTTTTAATAAAGGCTCGCTATCGTTGGACTCACGCAAACGGTGCCGATATTCTTAAAGCCTACAATGCTAGGATTTCGACCTGGCTTCGCGCCACTTTTAAACGTGCGCGAAAAAGTGGGAAAAAGCCTAGATGGGTTTCGGATGAAGTGTGGTCCAACCTTTGTCGCCACTGGTCTTCTGATCCGAAATTCTTGGCCAGAAGTGAATCCGGTAAGAAAAACCGGATGTCCGAGAAGGCCTTGGAGATGCAGTGGCACGGAGGTCGCAAATCTCAGAATGCCCATAAAGAAACTCTTGTAAGTGCTATTCAAAAAACCTTACAACATCACATTCCTTCATTATAAAAAATTTAATTTAAGTCTTTTTCACACCATTTAGGCTGGTCCTGAGAAGAAGAAGGTTGATGTTCTCCGGCTCGTCAAGCATTGCTGGACGAAGCACGGCGAGGAATCCGAAGCCGATTTGCCACCCCGCCTCGCCGACTTCGAAGTATGTAACATCATATTTTGTTATTTAGTAACATTTCAAATCTAAGTATGTAGCATTTAAAAAATCTTTTTGAAAATGCAGACGAAGTACAACGAATCCCTCGACAGGCAGCGTGCGGCACGAGGCTTGACCCAGGAGGACGACCTCGATTCCGATGCGGATGATGAGGCGGCCATTGAGGCGGCCGGGGTTTACAAGGGCCGGGTTCCGTGCTTGGGGGCTGAGGGGCAACGGATTTTGTATGATCGAAGCACCGGCGCTTCCTCTTCTCGGTCAAGGCGGGGAGAAGATCCCCGTATTGCCACAATGCAGCGTGAACTAGAGGAGCACGAACGGCGATGGGAGGAGCAGCGGAAAGCAGATGCTGCCACAAAAGCCCGGTTGGAGGAGATGGAACGGTACATGCGTGCCGGATTCCAGCCTCCGCAACAGCCTTTTCCTCCCCCGTACGTATTCCACCCTGAGCAAACTCCTCAAGTTCCGCACATGGGCGGTATGGGATTTTTCCCCAACTCCGGATATGGTGGCATGCCTATGATCTCCCCGAATTTCGGTTCTATGTCCTTTGATTTTGCGAGGTCATCCGGAGGAGGTAGTGGCACACCGAGCCACGGAGGCCGAGGAGCACCCCGAGGACGACCCCGAGGAGCACCCCGAGGAGGAACCCGACCTGACCCTGAAGACCCCCCCGTGAACCCAGATGAGTTTCTTGTTGATGATGAAGAAGAAGAAGAAGAAGAAGAAAATCCCAATTTTTATCATAACGGAGTCCCACGGGACATGTAATCATCATACATTTATTATTTGTTGTATTTCAAAACTTTTAAAAGTTTGTCACAATATTTATTGAATTTGTTGTATGTCTTTGCTCTTAAAATGTATTTATTTTAAAAAAAATAGTATAATATTTTCAATAACTCATTTTTCAAAAAACATTTTGAAATTTAATTTGTAAACTTCCGTTTTTAAAAAAGTAATTTTTAA